TTTTTGCCAGGGTAAGCAGAAGAGAGACAAGTCCTAGAGTGGTGCCCTGAAGGATGAAGAAGATAGCAGATACAGATCATATTCCACCCATATCCTACATAAAACCTTACCCATTAGATATACTTGAATTTTTAGTATTATTTTATATCTGATGTGTTTTTGTGCGTGTATGTCTGCACAACACACGTGTGCATAGTGCCAGTGGAGGATAGAAGAGGGCATCAATCCTCTAGACCAGGGACTATACACAGCTGTGAGTTATCACGTGGGTGGTGAGAATCAAACCCAAATCTTCTGGAAGATCGAGTGTACTCTTGACCACTGAGCCGTCTTTCCAGCTCTTATACTTTAATTTTCAAAAATTAGCCAGAAAAGCAATTCTCAGACATGCTATGCTTCTCACCAGCCTCTCCTGGAGAAGGAAAGGGAAGAAAAAAGGCATGAAGCATAATATAATAAATGTCAGTCAAGCTTGTGCTGGCTCTGGCAGCAGCAAGCCTGACTTACCTGCTAAAGAGCAAAGGATAGGTGGGTCTAAGGTTGTGGGTGGGATACATGAAGGCAAAATCATTTGTGGTGTGAAAAATTTGGCTGAGTTTTTTACACCTTTGAATCCTTTAAAAGACAGTGTCTAAAAAAACACAGCAGAGAGTAGGCTAGAGAAGACACTTGGAATCTTTCCTGCAGAGTAGAAATAGCTTCTAAAAATAAAGTGCAGTTTTGATAGTAGAGTAAGCTTTCTGTTCTCACATTTCTAGGTGATAGTCACACGTTATTCCAGTTCAGATCGTGAGGATCTAAAATACATAAATATTTGACAATTTTTACAAGAGTGTGCTAATACAACAACACGCCACATGCATACAGACACGTGGCCTCAAAGAAACTGAAGAAATGGCACAACTCATAAGGCTGCTTTGGTGCCCATGTACACACCAAACTGCTGCAGAAAGGGGGAGGAGCTTTCCTCCCTCAAATGTTCCTGGCACCCATGATAGGGAGAGAAACATCACATAAGTTAGTGGTAGCCTCAAGGCCTGCAGAGAACTAACTGAAGCAGGAGTTTCACTATGATATCACCATGGTCACCATTCTCCTAAGCTGTGTGGTCCTTTATCTCCTAGGGACAGGTGAGTATGTAGACCAGGGCTCAGATCTTTTCCTGAAAGGGTAAAGAATTATCTCTTTTCACCAAACTGGCTATCTCAACCTCTATGCTCTTCATTCATAGGCTCCACGGAGGTTCAAGTTTCCCAGGCTCCAAGACACGTCATCACAGAGACTGGGAAGAAGTTGATAATAACTTGCTCCCTGAATATGAATCATGATTATATGTTTTGGTATAAACAAGACTCAGGTCTGGGTCTAAAGCTGATCTATTACTCAATTAATGCTGATCATATCGATAAGGGAGACGTCTCTGATGGGTATAATGTCTCTAGAAAAGGAAAAGAAGCCTTTCTTCTGACACTGGAATCTACCCAAATCAGCCAGACCTCTTTGTACCTCTGTGCCAGCAGTTATCACAGCTCTGCACAGCCCGCTGCTCTCTGCACAAAAAGGACAGCCACATGGGCGAGAAGCCTCCACTCTCAGGAGGCCCCACACCAGCCAAGAGAATGTAACATCTTTTCCCACTGGCAACAGCCATAGGAGCTATCTATAACTCTCTGGCCTCAGGGCCTCTCAGCAGGGCACTTCACTTAGTGTGTGACTCCCATGCTCCAGTCTCAACTTGTTATACCACAACTTTCAAAACTCAGACAGAGCAAGATCCTTGTATTAGGTCTAAAGTGCCAGGACACCACTGTGTTCCTTTCTCCCCATGGGTCTTAAATCTTCAGGTGCAATGGAGCTGCTGCCCCAAGGCAAGTTTGAGATTTCTCATATTACTGGCTTTGTTATTGATATTTTTGACCATTGTTTTTGTGTGTGGGCAGAAATACCATATTCTGAATTGTTTACCAAATTTAACTTTGCCATTAACCAATATGCAAGCTCACAATGCAGGAGTGATCTTCCCTGACCCTCTGATGTCCTTCTACACCAAATCCATACCCGTGTTTATCACACCTCTAAGTATTAAGTTCCTTGCAATTTATACTAGTATTCTCCACCCCACCATTATTGTGTAATCTTTCACCTGGAATCCAGTTACCACCCTACAACCAGCCACCCTGACTGCCCGCTTGCCAGCTGTTCCTTCCCACAGATGAGATGAAAAACTTTAAGTTTCTTTAGTTAACTATCTGGTGTCTATTGTTTTGTGTACTTGTAAGATCCCATATTTTTATATAGTTGAATACTGGTCCACCTTTCTGTTATAAAGCTCTACTTTCCTTTAGCTACTCTGACTGCCTAAATTCTCATGCAGAAGTTTCTTAAAGTGTGCCCTGTGCTAAATCACTCCTCATTCTTCATCTGTGATGCTCCTCTACCAGATCACCTATTCAAGTATTGATTATAGATTCCTCTGCGCTTCTTAATTGGTTGAGTTAACAATGTGAGGAGTTCTTTGATACATGCTCTTGTCACAACCTGAGCAGAGCAGAACTAGCAGAAATTCCCTGACCCCATCCGCAGCTTATCTACCATGGCCATGGAATTCTGTTTTGTGGTCCTTTGTCTTCTTAAAAAAGTTAAGTCAGGTGATGGATGGAGATAGAGACAGAGACGCACACTGGAGCACTGGACTGAGCTCCCAAGGTCCCAATGAGGAGCAGAAAGAGGGAGAAGATGAGCAAGGAACTCAGGACCACGAGGGGTGCACCCACCCACTGAGACAGTGGGGCTGATCTATTGGGAGCTCACCAAGGCCAGCTGGACTGTGACTGAAAAAGCAGGGGATAAAACCGGACTCTCTGAACATGTCGGACAATGAGGGCTGATGAGAAGCCAAGGACAATGGCAGGGGGTTTTGATCCTACTTCATGTTCGGGCTTTGTGGGAGCCTAGCCAGTTTGGATGTTCACCTTCCTAGACATGGATGGAGGGGGGAGGACCTTGGACTTTCCACAGGGCAGGGAACCCTGACTGCTTGTTGGACTGGAGAGGGAGGGGGAGAGGAGTGGGGGGAGGGGGAGAAGGATGGGAGGAGGGGGAGGGAAATGGGAGGCTGGGAGGAGCGGGAAACTTTTTTTTCCTTTTCTCAATAAAAAAAAAGTTAAGTCAGAGGCATAAGTATGATGCAGATACATTATTACCTTCCCTAAATTGTCTGTATTGTGTACATAATATCCCTGGGTCACAATTTCACCGACACACCTGTTAGATATCATCATCAGTACAGAAATTAAGTCAGCAATGTAACTAGACTATGTACCTTGGCCTCCATGTGTGGATCTTGACATAGGACAGTTTTTAACCTATTAGTCACTTGGTTCCTGGAGTGCTAAGTAAATGCAATTGTTTAAAAAGATAGGGTGTTTTTTTTTTTAAATAAGACTAAGCATTTCTCCCACGCTCAATATATGTAGACTCTCTGCCCTCTGCCATCAGTTAGACCACAACACTGAAAGTCACATCCTCCATGCAGAAAAATGGTTGTCATAAAAGGAGGAGGTGACCCTTGCTTCCTGAGCCCTCCCCTTACCATGGGGGAAATACTGTTCCCACAGAAAAGAAGCACGCAGAAGCATTCTCCATCTCCGCACACAGGAACACTTCTGAAGTCCCAGGTGCCCTGGTGGTAGGAGTCACAACAGGCCACTTTGGCTTACAATCTGAGTGGTTCTCAACATTTCTGCTGCCGTGACCCTTTAATGTAGGTTCTTCAGGTTGTGCTAACCCCCAAACATAAAAATATTTCATTCTACTTCATAACTGCAGTTTTGCAACTGTAATGTAAAATATGCAGAATAACTAATATGTGACCCCTGTGGGGGATGTGACCCATAGGTTGAGAACCACTGGAATTGTCAGTATTCTTTTTTTTTCCACTACTTTTTATTGGCTCTTTTAATGGGGACTCTTCAATCCAGACCCTGTAACAGAATTAGCCTTAATCCACCCAGTATTTTTCACCTCACCTCCAGGGAAGATCTGCAGACTCTGAGACTCACAAAAGCTTTCCTTGCATTTATCTCTGTGTATCAGAGAGCATTTAAATATTAGTGTAACTCTTCTCGCTTAAGCACATCATACTACATTGTGCATTTACCGACTCTGTTATCATTTGCACAGACACTGAATGGAGTCATCTACCACCAACATTCCTAGGAATTTCTGACATATGACAAAAACAGAAAAAATTAAAGTACATTTTCCAGCTTATTTGCCTATACTTCACACTTTATTGCTTGGTCATAAACCCACTCTTGTTGGATCACTGGCTCTTCCAGCTCTCTTCTCTTGCTAAACCTCTAAATAATATTTACACCACTGCTGTCACTACCACCAGTGAAACTTGAAGAAAAAAAGATGCTTCGTGAGGGGAACTAACCTATTGCATATGGAAAACATCAACTACAGTTGCCTCTATCCATGGATACAATAATAAGAAGTATCTAAAAATAAATACTTTCAGCAGACTAAATTAGTGTACTTCCAGACTTGCACAATGCCATTCCAGAAGCATGTGCATAAAAGTGGAGAGAAAGACAGAAAGAGAGAGAGAAAGAGAGAGAGAGAGAGAGAGAGAGAGAGAGAGAGAGAGAGAGACTTCTGTGATACCCTCTTTTCTCTCTGAGATCTCCAGATGTTTCAGTCTAGATGAAGGAGACAAGCTCATGAGTGTGGTCAAGAACAATGACATCATAGACAGTCAGTGTAAAGTGGCAAGAAGACCCACACATTCTTCAAAATGGCCATGAGTATTAGACTCATCTCTGCTGTACTGCTTTGTTTCCTAGGACTAGGTGAGTCCTGGAGACTGGTATGTCCTGGGCATTGAGGGCAAACCGCATACTGTTGCTTCTAGGCTGTGATATCAGACTTTTCTAGGATCAGGCTAGGTAGTCTGATACTAGGTAACCTTGCTTTCACTTCTTCTTCACCAACAGGCCTTGTGGACATGGACGTAATCCAGACACCAAGATATCTGGTCAAAAGAACGGGAGAGGAGGTTTTGCTGGACTGTGTACAGGATATGGGCCATGAAAGAATGTTCTGGTATCGACAAGACCCAGGTCTAGGGCTACGGTTGATTCATTTTTCATATGATGTTGACAGTAACAGCAAAGGAGACATCCCTGAAGGATACAGGGTCTCTCGGAAGAAGCGGGAGCGTTTCTCACTGATTCTGGAGTCTGCGAAAACCAGCCAGACATCTGTGTACTTCTGTGCCAGCAGTTTATCCACAGCTCTGCAGAGCCACATCCTCTCCACACAAAAAGCACCTACGGGAAGGAGATGGCTCTGCCTCCAGGTTGATGCTGCATTTCATATCACATAGTACCAGTTAGAAAGAGGTGGCCACTAAAGGTGAACCTCTACACATTCTTAAATTAGAAAAAAAAAGGCCACAAGATATTCTCACTCCTTAATAATTCAGAAGACAATGTGAACGTAACCTGACCCAAAATATGAAGAGTCCCTAAACTAAATTCATGGGACTGACACCTTACAACATGTCATCTTCCATATTTGCACAAAAGCAGTGCTTAACATTTTAAATAATTTCATCGTTCCATTATAGGCTCCAATCCCTCTCAATAATGGACTTGGTTTGCTTTGTTCTTTGTAGCATTTTGCCAGAGGGCACTAACACATCTCTCCTCTCTAGATTGTCTGTCTCAAAAGGCTTATAAAGCTTGAATTTTATTTATCCCATTTTTTTTATTTCCTTGAAAACCAAACCAGTCTGACTGATCAAAAACATAACTTCAGATTTTCTTATCCACTATTTTTCACTGGACAGTCTCTAGTGAAGGCAAGAGTAAACCAGGCTGCAGGTGGTCAGGCTGTAAGCATTCTCACAACCACCTGGATGGTGTGTTCGTTCTAGAGAGTGAAACACAGAAAATATTAGCTGGGTCCCAAATTATGAGATATTTATTAAACAACTAATAAGACTAAACAAATCTGAAATATATTTTAATTTTTATTTATTTATTTTTGCAATTTGTTGTGTGTGTGTGTGTGTGTACATGTGCACACATGAAAGACATCTCAGGACTGAGTCTTCGAAAATCTCTCACTTTCTGGGAAAGCTTCAATTTTAAAATGATGCATATGTGTTATGTGTTGAAATAGTACGCAGTATTTTCAGAGGATTAGTGAGGCTTTATTTGTCTTTCATGGGCATATCCATTCCCACATATATCAGAGAACAACTTGCCAGGATTAAACTCAGGCTGACAGGTTTGGCTTCCGGTGCCTTTACCCACTAAGATGTATAGTTTTGTTGTATGACAATGTATTAATTCGGTGCATGTAGAGGAAGACAGGGATGAAAGTAAATACGTATTATAAAGTTTAGGACTACGTTTACATGAGAAATTGGAGACTAGCTGATATGGGATTAATGGAAGGCAAGAATAGAAGAACTACAAAAAAGAAAAAGCGTTCTGTTTTGTGTACAATACCCCTGAAGTGAAGGAAAAAACTACAGGAATGAAAAGTCTCCTGACTGAGGTTAACATCCAGAACAGAGACAAAGGATCCTCACAGAATATAATTACTTAGCAGAACTACATACAGGGATCTTTGGTGTGTGTGTAAACCTCACATTACCCACAAATCCACTATTTCCCACAGTAAGCATTGCTGACCCTCAGATCCAGTGAAAGATAGAGGAACAGGTCTAAGTGGTGATTGCATTCCTATTGCCACCAAAGTCGAGTCCCTGGTTCAAAGTTTGTCACGTGACTCTCAGGTCCGGCCGTAGTTGTCACTTGTTTCCTCTACCGTGTCCATGTATTGTAACCTCAGCAGAAAGGAAAGGAACTAGAATAAAATGACAGTATGCAGCGATGAAATAGCACTCATGGGACTAAAAGATTGGTGAAATATGGAGGATGCTTGAGTTTGGGCATAAACAGAAAAGTAATGAATGCTCGAAATATAACTTCATAAAGGCAAATAAAGCCTCACTAATCCTCTGAAAATACTACATACTATTTCAACACATATGCATCATTTTAAAATCGGAGCTTTCCCAGAAAGTGAGAGATTTTTGAAGACTCAGTCCTAGCTGAGATTTCTTCACTAAACTCCTCCCCTCAGGGCTCAGGGAGCTATGCAAAGGAGGAGGCAGAAAGATGACTCTAAAATAAGAGAGAAAAGATGTTTAAATGTGGACACTTCCATAGCACTCTTTTCTGGGACACAGTGAGGCAGAGCTTTCCCTGCAGCGAACAAGAACAGTGAAAGCAGGAGGTCACTTCTCTAGAGGTGTTCCCGGCAACGTAACACAATGTTCCTGGCACATACAGAATGTTTCCTTACAATTAATGATAAACTGGATTAAAATAACTTGCTCATGGCCACACAGCTCATGAACCTGGTCAATATGCTTTAAATTGTTTGTTCTCCAATTTTATTTGTGATTTGTTGGCTCTTAGAAGAGTCACCATGCAACACTCGATTTGGTTTAGTCTTTTTGATACCTGCTCAGTAGCCACTAGACTTTCTGGTTCCTTTTTACACACGATGCTTCCGAAGACTCTATTCTTTTAACAGGATCACTGTTTTATTGTCCTGTTGTCACCCTGAGACTTTCATTTGTTAGTCTGAATTAGATTCTTTTTCCTTTGGTTCACTGTATCGATCTGCTAGGAAAACATTATCTAGTAATGTCCTAAGAAAAATGAAATAAAAGTAAAAGTTTTGTACTTAGCATAAATGAAAATGCCTTTTTTATATCTTTCAAATCTTGCTTTAGTAGGGAAATCTGTGTTGAAAATTACATCCTATCTGAATGTTATAGACTTTTCCATGACATTTTATAAATCATTGCTACCAAGAAATCGATGACTGCTACAGGAGGAAGAGTCAGTTTTCCTTAGGGATGCGGGACTGAAGAGGCTAGCTGTAGCCCAGTAGATGATCCTATACTCACATACATACAGACAGCACTGATTGGACTCGATGGGTTTATAAAATGCAGAGCATATGAAATTGAGAAGTAAAAGTGGTGGTGGTGGTGTGGGAGGAATTATGGAGGCGGGAATGAGGAGAGTGTACTTGATCCAAATGCATTGTATGCATGTATGGCTTTCCAATCAGCAAAATAGTCTAATGGTATTTCCCATTTCAGTTGTTTTATGGAGGGGGAGGAAAGGCTTTATTTCACTCATTGTCCCATATAGTTCATTATCAAAAGCATTAAAGGTGCCAGACATCACTGGCACACTCCTTTAATCCCAGTGCTCGGCCGGCAGAAGCAGGCAGATCTCTATGAGTTTGAGGCCAGCTGCTCCACAGAGCGAGTTCCAGGACATCCAAGACTAAAATTACACAGAAATACCCTGTCTCCAAAACCAACCACCCATCAAAAAGAGTGAGGGCAGGAACCAGGAGGCAGGAGCTGAGGTGATGGAGAGGTGCTGCTTTTTAGCTTGCTTAACCTGCTTTATTATAGAACCCATGACCACCAGTTCAGAGGTAGTACCACTCACAATGGACTGGGCTGTTCCCCATCAATCACTAATTAAGAAAATGCTGATTGGCTGGCCCACAGCTGGATCTTATGGAAGCATTTTCTCAGTTGAGGTTTTCTCCTCTCAAATGACTATAGTTTATGTCAAGGTGACACGAAGCTAGCCAGCATCCCAGCAGGATTATTTTGTCTTAGTGAAAACTGCAATGTCTGAGATGTCCAGCTCTGACTCCAGCCTCAACTGTGGCCTGCCTCCAAGAGTGGTTTATACTGATCTCTTGGAGAATTGCAAAAATTACCAGCATGCCTCATAATTCTGGGTTCTTTGCAAGAGCAACAAGTGAAAATGGTTAAAGAAATGGCTCAGTTGTTAATAGCACTAATTGCTCTTGCAGAGGGCACAGTTTCAGTTCCCAGAACTCAAATGATGTCATACAACCCCCCCGTAACTGCAGTTCCAAAGGATCACACACCCTTTTGATCTCCCAGGGCATCAACCACACACATGGTATATGTATTTTCATGCATCAAAACCCACAAAAACATAAAAATAAATATAGTATTTAATCCCAATACTCAGGGGGCAGAGGCAGGTGGAAATTTGTGAGAAGAAAAGGAAAAAAAATAATCCAGTAAAAATTGGAGTACAGACCTAAACAGAGGACTCTCAACAGAGAAATCTAAAATGGTTGAAAGACACTTAAGGAAATGCTCAACGTCTTCAGTAGTTCTTGGCATGAATCTGTGTCATTTAACATGCTATTTACAGCTAACAGTGGTGGGCCTTATATCCCAGAAACCTCTGAAACCATCCTTTCCTGTCCAGTCTCCAGCTCCAAAAAACAACATGGAGACTTAATCACTATGAAAGCTCAGCCTTAGCTTATGCTTGTCTCACTAGCTCTTGTAACTTAAATTAACATGCTTCTATTAATAGGCGTTTTACCATTTGACTTTTTAAAACCTCTTTTATGTTTTTGTCTGTTTGTTTTTGGTTTGCTTTTTTAAGACAGGGTTTGTCTTTGTAACACTCCTGGCTGTGCTGTCCTCGAACTTGCTCTGTAGACCATGCTGACATTAAACTCAGTGAGATCCACATGCCTCTGCCTCCCAAGGGCTGGCAGTAAAGGTATGTGCCAACACTGACTAGCTTCTTCTAATTTTCTTTTCTTTAGTATGACCGACTCCCTTTGTGTCTCGTTGGTGTCACCAAAGCATCTTGTGCCTAGAGTCAATGGTTTTAATTTTTAATTTATAGTTTCAGTACATAAGTTTTCTTGCACTGAATATTTTTAATTCTCAGGATTTGGAAATTCTGTGAAGATAAACCTCTGATTCATTTGTCCTATGTTTATTAAACATGCAGGATAACATGTTTGTTGTACACACACATGCATATACACATACATTTGAATATAAATGGTGAGAAAGTGTAAGAGAAAGTGAGAGAATAATTTTATAACAGAATCTTGGAATCAGGGGAATAAAACAGGTTAGTTTTGCAAGACTGTCTTCCTGGATTCCATATTTACTTTAGAAAGTCAGGCTTGCCATTCTCAGTTGCCAGTTAGAAAAACACAGTAAACTGTAAAAGTGGGGCAATCTTTGGTAGCTCTGATGCTAATCCATGGCTCTGGGATTACAAAGACATCAATTTGAGTCATATTTTTTGTCACCTCTTCTTGAAATTTGTATAAATTATGCTCTGTAGGTCTTATGTGCAAAAATTTCCAATTGGTAAAACACAGT